ATAATATTTATATGTATTATTAATAGCACTGGGCTGGGATACTGTTGTCAACAGAGAAAACAAATTCATAACTGTACAAAGTTTACAATATAGAGATGCATATAAACTACCTAATTTTACAAATGATGGATTAATGAACATCTATCAATGTTACCTGTCAACATTTCTTTGTTTTAACTAATGAAGAACACTGACACTACAATTCAATATTTAATTTGACTTCATTTTTTTACTGCATATTCTTTGGTGTTTGTGATGCACTTTTTTTTTTTTTCATCTGTTTGTTTAAGACAGGGTCTCACTGGGTAGCGCAGGCTGCACTTACGCTCACTATGCAGCCCACGCTGACCTCCACCGTGTGGCAATGTGCTGCCTCTGTCCCTGGAGTGCTGGGGTCACAGGCATGTGTCACCACAACCAGCTAATATACTATATTTTACTTAGTCTAGAATGGTTTGTGTAGGATTCAACAGTATTTTTTCCCAAGTGTGTTGCATTCTCATATATAATATGTCAGAAAAAATGTAGCAATTCTGTAAGCTGTGCTTGTTGCAAATGAATGCACACGGAGAGTCGGGCATGGAGATTTGGACAATGTCCTGTAACTGGCCTGTACGTCTCAGCCCCCACTCCATATTACGGTCACCTCGAAGGTCAGGCTCAGCGCTTGGAGGTGGGGCATGGACTCAGCACACTGAGCTCGCCAGGGAGGCACTTGTACCACTGAGCTATCCTCCCGGCATGAAGGTCAGGCTCTGCGGTATGTGCCTGTAATCCGAGCTATTCAGGAAGCTGAAGCAAGAGGATCAAGAGTTTAAAGCTTCTTAGGACAACTTAGCAAGGCCATCTCCAAATACAATTAAAATGCTGGGGATGAAGCTTAGTGGTAAAGCACTTGCCTAGCACAAGTGAAGCCTGGTTCAATCCCCAGCAACACACACACACACACACACACACACACACACACACACACACACATACCTGGAGAGCTTTTAATAAAGTGTTTGCTCTGCTCTCAACCAAGAGATCCTCACTCAGTGCCTCTGGGATTGACACTGCATACTGCAGAGAAGTGCTCAGAGATCCCAGAATTCAATCAGGGATAAAATGAACTGAATTTGATTATTACAACACTGAGAATAGATCCAGGGATTTTTCTTCACTTTGATAGCCCCAGTGTCCAGCCCAAACCCTGCAAAGTGAGCTTTTACTTCCCTAAAAACAGCATGAATGGAGTGGCTAGACATATTGCACATTAGTGGGGATATACACACTATGATATAAAAACTAAGGAAGCAACATGTTGAATTTGCATTTGAAAATTAGGCTGTCATGGTTTAGGTGTAGAACATCTGCCCCAAAACTCACGTGTGGGGGGGGCTTCTGGGTGGGCCATGGGGAGCCAGGGATGCGACGCTGTAGGGTGCAGAGGAGTGCCCAGGGTGCTCTGCACAGGGCCTCTCCTCCTAGGCTCCTCTGTTTACCTGTTTCCCGGTGTGTGAGGCGTGAGCAGCTTGCTTCTACCAGAGCCCCCGACCATGCCCACCTTGCCTTGGAGCCAGGAGCCCTCGCCTCAAAACCAACAACATAAGCTACATCCCTGCCCTGCTGAGGTGCCGGCGTGGTACTGTGTCTCAGCAAAGACCAAGCGACCAAGCACAGGCGTGGTGACGGCGGACTTTTAATTCCAATGACAGAAATGGCCCACATGGCGCCTGTGCCTGGGCTTGCCTCCACTAGCCTGGGCACAGAAGCGTGAGCAGTCTACAGCTCGTGTCAAAGCATCTCACAGCAAGCAGCAAACCTGATCAGACAGGGGGCCTCCGAGATGCCTTCTCCCCACCTGCCATTCTCACCTTGCTTTCTGTGGGGTTTTTTTCCTGTGAGAGTAACCTAGGTAAAAGGAAAAGAAAGGTTAATCAAAGTACTTCTACAAATACAAAATAAAATAGGCTGTTATGGTTGATCCATTGTGCCAACCTGAGGAATCATTAACTAAGGAACTCAGCAATTGCACCTCTGGGGGTGAAAAGGACCTGCCCTTCCCAGAGGATGGGCTTCATTGTGTCAATGTGGGAAGTTTAAAAGTCCAGCTAAGTGAGTGGCAGAGGGGCAGGGTCCTGGCCTTGTGAACATCCTCAGCTTGAGGAGGAGGAGGGCATGGAGAAGCCAAAACTAAGGCTTTCTCGCATGGGGGAGTAATGGCTCTCAAGGTGGGGGAACACGACCAGAAGATCAGCTGCTGTGACGGTAACAGCAGTGACAGTCACCAGAACACAGGGCAGGGGTGAGCCTGACCCAAGCTGTTCAAATCATGATGATGCTTCAAGGTAACTGTACTGCCGGTTTCCACAGTCTGCTGAAAGCTAATGCTAAATTGTTTTTTCTTCTTTTTAATCTTTTTGGCCAATTTTGCATGCTTATATCTGGTAATCTGAAACCAATTTGAAAACAACAATATGCAATATAACAATCATTGTTGAATTCCTGTTCTTTCAGTTAGAGAAATTCTGTATCATTTCTAATGTTTTAAAACTCTTTTGTTGTCATAAATAAGCAGAATTAAAGCAAGATGTTGGATGACCAAAGTGCAGAGGAGAGAAATAGGAAGAAGGCTCTGGAGAGCTGAGGCTGGGAAGGAGCAGTGAGAGACGGGAGCAGCTGGGGAGGACCGTGAGGACTAATAAAAATAGCAAAAGTGTAAAGAAGTGTGAGGTGGTTCAGATGCAAAGGAGCAAGGAAGACGAACACAGGGGCTTTGCTGTGTCCTCAGTCAGGAAAGGGTGAAGGAGCTTTGAGCAGCTGTGAGGTCTGCACGGTCACCTCAGAGAGTGACTATGAGATGGAGCTGCTGGCCGTCACTGAGCCGTTCGCAGCTGTAAGAGCAGGGCTGGCAGTCCTCCCCCCTGCTTGTGAGATTTTCTCCAGTGAAGTCCAGGAAAAAGCTACAAATTCACAGGACTGTCTGATCTGTTCTAATCAGCATTTTTGGGAAAATAATATAGGTTGGCCCTTTGTATCTGCCGTAGAGAGTTCCAGGACCCGTGGGATACCTAGTGTGCTCAAGTTCCTTCTAAAAAATGTCATTTGCATATAACCAATGTACACGCCCAAGTGCTTTATTTATTTTTCTTTGGAATATAAATTAGAGTTTTAATTTTAAAAATGAGATAGACAAAGTCAATGGACAAGAAAGATGTGGCTTTTGGCAAATGTTAGCACTCAACTTTTTTACAGGGATCAACCACACATGAACAGCATAAATTTTGCGCACTGTGGAATAAGTAGAATAAATTATATTATCGCCTCTAAATTACTCATAAAATCATGTAGGAAAACAATCAAATATATGTAGGTGGGACAATCAAATATATGTAGTGCGTACAGCAAACAAGCTACCTCACTCCTAAGATGAACACCTTGTCTGGTTAAGGTTAGCTGTCAGTTGCTAGGCAACCTAGTGTCATGAGTTACTAACTTAACAAAAGTGTAAATAAAGGACAGTTTTCTTGTGAAAATAAAAAAGAGAGAAGAATATATATATATATATATATATATATGTATACACAAGAGCGTTATGATAGATATACAGCTACTTTCTCTTAGTTCATTAGAATAAAAGTTTGTACTAATATTGTTTAGACAAGATATCATCTTGTCCTCTGAATAACTACTATGAAGACAATATGCAATATATTATTGTAAACATCCTACTAACCTGTTTTGAAACTGTGACATTGCTATTTTATCTTTTTTCTCATTAAAATGAATGAAAATTATGAAAAATAAGATAAATTACTCATAATAATGAATACAATCTAAATGCTATCTATAAATAATTGTCATACTGTATTTAGGAAGTAATAAGAAAAAAGTGTGTACAGTTTTATCTGCAATTACTTTTGACCTGAGGTCGTTTGAATCCACAGACGTGGGGCCTGTGAATACAGAGGGTGGGAGTACGCACATGAACAAAATGTCAGACTTTTCCCACTCCTGACTTGCCATTGCATAAACTGTACCAGGCCCTAAGTTTTTATCTCTAATGCATAATCGGTTTTCTTGCTGTCCCTTAGTAGCCTTCAGATCTTACTGTCACGTGCTCACTACCCAAACTTTACTTCTGTCTCTAGGTGCTCTCAGGTAAGTGTGGTGGTTCCTTTAATTCTCGCATCCACTTGCTAATACGGCAGAGAAGACAATGAGGATGAGTGGAGGAGGCCCCTGTCAGTTCCTCCATCCACCCCTGAAGGGTGGACACCTGGGCGAGGTGTTCAGGCTCACAGCTCCCTGCTTTTCCATTAGAACACTATGCCTATCTGTCCCATATGGTCCTTAGGAGGAGCAAACCTGCTCACAGCACTGCAATGTCAGGCAGCAGGTAGGTTCAGCCACCCATCCTGAGCTGCCCCAGACTGTCCTGGTTCTGCCACCAGACATAGGGGTCCCCTCCGGTGGTAAATGTGGTAAATGTGGGACACAGGAGCACAGCACATAGAGTCTATGTTTTAAGAAAGTCCATGAAGGAAGAAAAAAATAGGTTAAACTCCAAGCTACTAAGCCTTGACTTTTTCTCTCAGAGAAAAAACAATATACCACATTATAAATGGATGTCAGACCTCTAGGGTGAAAGGAATATTTGGATCTGGAGTGCAGTGTACAGCATAACCATCAAATGTGAATACACTTTAAATATGCTGTATGTGGTATGCAGTTAAACTTTAAGTAGTTAATTACTAAGTAATTATATTTTGAATAAGTTTTTTTGTTGTTGTTGTTTTTAAAGTAACACTAAACTTTTGTTAAGTGCAGGGACCAGGGTTCAAAACCAACCCGGTCCTACCTGCCACATTTGCTCCACCCAGGGCATGCTGAGCCAGCAGTTGAGTCCAGGCATAGTGGTGCCCGCCTGTAATCCCAGTGCTGGGGAGGCTGAAAACAGGAGGATCACTATGAGTCCAAGCTGCAGAGTAAGACCCTGTACCAAATACATAAAAAAAAAAAAAAACCCTTTCTTTCCTTTATGCTGGGAGTTAGGTATTTTTTCCTAGCCATGAGAGAAAAGTAAACAAAACACAATCTGACATGGGGTATTACTGATTATTAGGGGTTATTACTATGAGGGTATAGAGGGACAAATGGGGATTCAGTTAATCAGCTTTAGGTGGGATTATAACGTGACATTTCTATTCAGGTTTGCACTGGTTCTCATAGTAACAGTTCCTGAGAGAAGAAACATACAATGACTTACACAGGAAAATTAAAGCACTAGAAATAAACACAAGGATCACTCCAGCAGAGACTCCTACTCCGATGTAGACACCTTTTCTTTTCGTTGCTCCAGAGGCTTGGAACTCCCCAGCCAGTATGAACGTTTGCTACAGAGACACAAACAGAACGGGAGCTGGGAAGGGCCAGGAAAACCAGCCGTGCACCCAGCCCATCTTACCAGGTGCAGCCTGGACTACCCATGGCCCAGTGCCACAGCACCACAGGGACTGAAACCCTCAACTGTCCCCTTCTAGACAGCACTCAACCCACCACAGACATGGACTAGCTCCATTTGGAAGTTAAGAAGACTTAAAATCTCTCCCTCTGTGCTGTGGGCATAGAGATGTCTTTGGAAAGGGACTCTTTCCAATGTCCCTCTCCTTAGAACACACATAACCATGAAGGCCCATTTGTTTAATACAACTATGTAATTCAGGGTATTTCAGAGTGGTCTACATTCGATGTCTTGCATTGAATAGCCATTTTATTCTTTCCTACCATTTTTCTTTAATTTTTCTCCTTTAATTATTTGTGTTTGGAAGACCATAATACAGCAACCAGGAGATATTTATCCTTCTCTGTCCAACTTATTTCCCTTAGTAAAATGGTGTCAGGACCCACCCATCTCCTACAAAAGACTCAAATTTATTCTTCTTTCTGGCTGAGTAGTATTCTACTCGGTACATATACCATATTTTCTTTATCTATTCATCTATTGATAAGCAGGTAGGTCCAATTGCAAAGCCCTAACTCTTAATCAGTGCCTTTCTGTGAAAAGTGATTTAAGAGCCAGTGCTTGGCATAAGTCCTGGGTTCAAATCCCTCTTCAATTCCAGAACTCAGAGACATAATAGTTATTGGGAAATGATGTCACAAAAATACAACATTCTTATCTTTTGGTGTGATTGAAGATACATGATTACTCTGTGGAGGGGAATACCACCATTTCCCTAATTAATATGATTTTTTAAAAAATGTATTTAGTACAGGATCTACAGGGTCTCACTACACAGATCAGACTTGTAGTGATTCTCCCAAGTGCTGGGATTACAGGCTGCTTCACCACGCCCAATCTCAAATACATCTCAGCGAGCCCCAGGGGTAGGGTCGGCAAGGCACAGCAGGCCAGGAATCGAACCCACCCCCTGTGCCTGCCTAAGCAGACGCTTTTAATAACATTTTTGATAACTGAGACTTACATAAAAAGGCTTTTCAGAATTTCACTGTCTTAGAAAACGATAGTGGGAAACACTTTTAAAAACAAAGAAGTCAAGAATGTGGCATTTCCGCTTATTTGATGCAGTCTGCCCTTCCTGAGCACACCTTCCTGCCACAGGCCCGCCCTGGGCACCAGGTAAGTGCCGAAGGCAGTGGCATGCACAGGGAATGGCCCAGGCCCTGCTGGGTCATGGTGGACAGGACACTCGTGCTGGACACCCCCGCGCACACACAAGCCTGAGACCAGGGCGGCCAGCGCGGGCTCCTGGGGTGCCCCCATCGCTGTGACTCTGTGGGCTTTCTTCCGCTCAGGAATGGGGGTCACTAGTTGGGGATACCACGAAGAACTGCTTCACAGTTAAACGGTAAGTCTTGCTTTGAATATCACTCTTGATGTCAGACACAAATCAGTAAAGGTACGCCAACAACTCAAGAGAGGACAAAGCCCAATCCCAAGAGGACAAAGGTGTTTCTGAGCATACTGCCACTCAGCTTCGAGATCCGACAGGAGGACGCGGATGCCAGCGCTGCCGCCTGCCCTCCCAGTGCTGCCCGCCCTGTGCGCACAGCCTGGTCCACTTGCACCGCGCCTGCGCACCGGCTGACATCATCACATCACAGCCACACCCCTGAGGCGGGAGGCTGAGTCGGGGGGAGCGGCGCGAGGGAGGATGAGGCCGCGCTTTCTGGGCTCTGAGTGGAGCGTGGTGTTCAGGCCCCAGAAGTACTTACTGTTAGGTTTTTCTCGTCGTGCGTCTCCAAGGTCTGTGTCTCTGACACACACACACAAAGAAAGAAAATAGGAAATGGTTAAGAAATTTTTAAAAATATTACTTTATATAAAGACTCAAAGACATCCATAATCCTACTTTTTTGTTTGTTTAGGTACTGTTGATTATAATCCTATTGAAAAGTAATTATCCAGGCCCAGGATATAGCTCAGTGGCACAGCACCTGCCTGCCAAACACTAGGTCCTGAGTTCAGTTCCTCATATAAAAAAGAAAAAAATCAACTATCTATACAGTTAACAATAATTGGAAGATCAACAAAATTCGTTAAATGCTTAAGAATGAACTTCAAGATGACTAAAGTGTTTTCCTAATAACGTGCCATTCTACCTAGATTTTATGGAAAAGAGACTTCTGCCAGCAAGATCTATGCTAAAAATGAAGTTTATTTTGCCCTTGGGGTCCTGAAGTGTTCTACGATAATTCAATAAAATGATTAACTCAGCCTCTATATTCTAATCAGACTTGGAAAGACAACAAAAAATAATTTTCTTCAAGTAATTTAGTATTTGCTCAGTAGGAGAGAGACAGTGTTTGGCTGCCCTCAAAGAAAAATACTACTATAGGAGCAGTTTACCAGGAAACAGGACCTGTGCTGAGCTCGCTGCCGGAATGAAGCATCTCTTGGTCCCTCTCTACAGCGGTCTTAAGTGACAGAAGCGGCCTCCGACTCAGTTCCCCTGGCCTTGCACAGCCGCTCCGACCAGCCCTGCCGGGCACCTTCCCTCCGGCACCGGCATTGCGGAGAGGAGGGCGCGGAGCTCGGCCGCCGCTCCGCAGCTCTGCTGTGTGCCTTTGCTCACGCCTTCCCTGCTCCGTCAGTCAACGAGCCCGCCCTGCTCTGCAACCCGCAGCACAGAGGACAGAGCACCCGGCAAGACGCGCACAGGCCCTGATCTCAGGGACGCTGCGTTCCAACCCGCAGCCGAGGACCGCCACCTCCTGGAGACCACGCGGCCTGCTGGCCCTGCACTGAGCCGCAGCTGTGAGACTCCTTAGATACGGCACGACCCGTGGGGAGGCCTTTGGTCTAAACCACTTACGGTGTATAAAAGGTTTGCTGGATTATAGTTTATTAGTCTGTGGTATAAATATTATAAAGTCACAGTCTCAGCTTAGAATTATTTGAGGAAAAAATAGAAGAGATTATGTTTCATTTCTCTTTGCACTTACTACCTAAAAAGGAATTTAAGTATAAAAACCACAGTGGTGGAACTACTAAGTAAACGTGAATCTTCACCACATACAAAGCTTTGAAATGAAAATTCATTCTCTGCTTCCCTATAGTTATTATTATTGTTGTTCTAAATGGTAAGGCTGACATTTTTCTTTGTTTTGTTTGTGTGCATGCTAAAGACTTAAGATTTTTGCACTGAGGTATACCCCCAGCCCATGCATCCATCCATCTATCCATCCGTTCATTTATTCATCCATTCACGACATGGTCTTGCTAAGTTGCTCAGGTTGGGTTCATACTTAGGATCCTTCTGCTTTAGTCTTCCAGAGTGCTAGGAGTGCTGGGTGTGGTAGTGAATGCCTTATAATCCCAGCACTTGGGGAGGCTGTGAGTTAGGGACCAGCCTCGGCTACAAACTAAGCTCACGGTCAGCTTGAACTGCATAATGAGACTCTGTCTCAAAAAGACAGGAAAAACAAAAACCAGAGTGGTAGGAGTACAGGTGTGCAACTGACTCTCTGAAAATGGTAAGTACAGTGAGCACTGTTACATTTTCATAGGTTTCTTCATGCAGATTCTGCCATCAGGCGAACAGATAGAACAGCTAGTTGAAGCTGCAGTGCTATTGGGGAAAACCCGGCATGGTTAGGTGGAGGTACAGTTGTCTTGAAAGTATAAAAGTGCATTTTAGATGCAGTTCTGTTGCAGGACACCACATGCTTAGTGCTGTTACCCACAACTGCGCTCAGTGCTCATGACAAGGCAGGTGCCACTATTTCTCCCATTTTTTGAGATGAACAAATTAAGTCTTAGAAGGACTGGAGAGATAGATAGCTCAGCAGCATAAGCACTTGCCTAGCAAGTGCAAGGTCCTCAGTTTGATCCCTAGTGCTCAAAACTATAAAAATAAAAATAAATTAAGTCCTAGAGAGGTCCTTTAATCATGACCACAAAGCTGTCACAAAATGGAGAAAGCTGGATCCAAACTAGGTCCCACTTCCTTTAGGAAGAAGAGATGATGCATCTGTTGGACATCCACTGCGGTTAAGGAAATGTATAGCCTTGGACTTCCCTTTTTATAGTTCAACTCTATTTTTTATCAAATATACTAAATACAACTGCATTCATATTAAAAAGAAGGTATCTATAGTTGCATAAGTGTTGACTCATCAAATTGGCATAATTATATATCACAGACAAGCCATTCATTATGGCTTGGAAGTGGACTCCTCACCCCCAGCTGCCCACGGGCAGGGCCTGCAGAAAGTGCAGACTGGGCAGAGCTGCTGCAAAAGGCACAAAGCCCAGATGAGGCACCCGGATGCCATTTGAGTCTGTGCTATTGAACTTAGCACGGGCTACTGCATGCTGCAGGGCCCTGTGTGATGGAGGAGCCCATGTGGGGGCGTCTCTTCCCAACATGCTTCCTGCCCTCACCAGTCATGCAGGGATGGAGCCACTCCTGCTGGAGGATGGACCTTAGAGGTGGGCTAATTAGGTAACCTTAGCACCTAATACGGAGTGACCTACAGGGCTGACTGCCACGCTGGGCACTTCCTGTGCATCGTTACATTTAATTTTCACAACTTTATGACATAAATAGGCATTAGAATTGCCCCCACCATGCAGATGAGAACCTGCCATTCAGGAGCTTGGAGCAACTCTACTGGGTTTGCAAAGCCAGAAAGAACTGATTTCCAAACTGTTCTACCTGTCACTGAAGTACTCGGCCATCATCCAATTCTGCTTTCTGAACTTACAAAACTAATGACAACAGTTATTAAAAAGCGCCGTTAATGCTTACGTTTTTTTTCTCTTAATATTTGACCAGTTTTGCATGCTTCTATATGGTAATCTGAACAACTAATTTGAAGACAACAATATGCAATATAACAACCATTGTTGAATTCCTCTCATTCTGTTTAGTGAAATTTCATATCATTTCTCATAGTTTTTTTATTACTATCTATTTTTTTAAATAGCTAATCTGTAGTGGGTACATGTTATGATCAGATGCTGGACTGAATACTTTAGTTATGCTTTTTTATTTAACTCTGACCAAGGCTCCCTATAAGCACTGAGCCAACCCATCTCTCCCTGAACACAGACTCCATGAGCCCTTGACGCACATCAAGGTGCACGAGTTTGTCAGACTGAGGACAATATGCCACGCTGTCCCGCTAGATCTAATTTACTTAATATTTTTGTAAAATAAAAATAAGTCTTGGGGCTGGAGAGATGGCTTAGTGGTCTAAAGCACCTATTTGGAACAAGCTTAGCAAAGCACAGGGACCGCGGTTCAATCCCCCAGCACCCATGCCAGCCAGCCCCGCCCCCTGGTGGGCTGAGCTGGCCACACACACACACACACACACACACACACACACACAAATAAATAATTAAAAAAATAAGTCTTATTAAACTCTTAAAGGTTAAAATTAAGTAAAACAAAGTCTAAGATATTATCTTTTTAAATTTAAAGATGGCACTATTAAACATTTTTTATGTTTTATTTGGCAAAATGCATAGCTCACCAAAAGTCTTTCTGTGGAAGGGGTTGGCAAATGTTAGTGGGTTATGAAATTCAAAAGTCTCTAAGCCTATTCCTTAGGCACAAGAGGAAGCCAAGATCCAGAGCAGTGAAAGTCCTCACCCAGGCCTCAAGGCGGGTCTGGGCTAATCCAAGGCCCTAGCCAGGTACCTTTCCTCCAGCACAGCTGAGTCTCCACCCTCCATCAACTTGAGCGCCATTTCAGACACACAGTGAGGATTTAGTCCTCTCCTCAGCTATTCTATCAACCGTTCTAATGCTCCAAACCCTCTGACTTCACACGCCAACCAAAGGCACCACCAAAGTGCCAAGAGTTACCTGGGCCGTGTCCTTTGGTGGTCAGCGTCCTTGCAAGGGTTGCGGTCCCATCTCTCTGTGCAGTTGGAGCAGGAGTGACCTTGGCTAATGTGAGAAACTAACAGTAAGGATGAGGCTCCCTCAAGAACAAGGAGTTTGTTTCAGGAAATCAAAGGGGCAGCAGCAAAATGCTGAAGCACAGTTGGTAAAGAGCAGCACAGCGGCAGCTTCTAACCCTACCTCCACGGCACCTGGTCTGAAGATCTGTATTAAATGACTCACAGAACCATTCCAGCATCCTGTGGTACAGATTGTCATGTTTTAGGGTACAGGAGGTCACAAAGTTTAAATAACTCGACCATGATAACAATTTGGTAAGAGGCACAGTAGGCTCTGAATTTGGCCCCATCTGGCAACAAAGTCTGCCCTGTAACAGTCCTGACTGAACACGTGGATTAAGCCTCATAAAACACTAATGCTCAGCTTCACCTCCAGAGATGCTGATTTCTCTGGATGGTGGGTAGAGACTGAGCACACCTAGTTATTGAGGAAAAAAATAAAATAAAATAAACCTCTCCAGATAATTCTAAGAAGCTGTGAGTCTAGTCCTTTCTTCCTGCTCTGTGGATCCTGCCAAGTTTCAAAGAATGTGGAGGCTCTTATACCTCACCAAGCATCCTAGACTTAGGATAGGTCTTTGCCCCCCAAACACCTCCAGCTGTAATTAGGAGGACAGAAGAGAAAAAGATTCATGTGTTTGTATGACCCACGTTCAAAGGCCTACTCACATGGTGTGATGACCAAGTGTTTGTTGAATTTGTGGTCATTCATTATGCCGGGGAATTGGATCCTGCAGCAGTAGGTTCCGCTGTCACCAAGAGTCACGTTCGTGATGGTCAAGGACACGTCTCCGTTGTAGAGGCTTCTCTGTAGCATGTATCTTCTGGATGTCCTAAATGTCACACTGCCTCCATTAGTTCTGAGCAGCACACTGTGACAGTCTGACAGAGGACAGGCTCCCCTGCCCCAGCACACAGGCACAGGATGCCCCGAGGCTGGCAGGCGGTACGTGCAGAGCAGCTGGGCATTCTGGCCCAGCTCCACTGTGGTCACCTCCTCCAAAGACCCTGGAGAGGGAAAGAGCACAAGACCATGAAGGGAGTGCATTTCAGGGCGACTGCAAGGAATGCCTTACAGAATAAGGACCAAGTCCCTGCTGGGGTCCCGGCTGAAGGTGAGCGACCTGCCAGCGCTTCTCTGACAGCTGAGGCATCCGCATCACTGGGAAGCCCTGCTCACACGTGAACCATGAGCCTTGGCCACCAGAGCTGCTAGCTCAGCTAGACTGCGCTGCAGCAATGAGCCTTGTGTTTCTAGCAGTTCCCCGGGCTGAGGGTCCTGGTGCCTTTCTCTGAAAACCATCGATCTAGGAGAGAGCTATGGAGTAGTTCTGTGGCCATTGGAGGACACAGGTGACAGGGACTGACAGTAAGAAAAGGGCATTCTCAACCAGGAACATTTTACATCCATCATCAAAGGATGGCTCTCAAGACTGGGGGCGCTGGCACGTGCCTGTAATCCCAGCTCTTAGGAGGCTGCAAACAGGAAGATCACCATGAGTCCAATCTAGTAGTGAGACCTTAACACCCTGTAGAGCCTTCGCTAAAATTTAAAAAAAAAGTTTAAAAAGGATGGCTCTCTAAACACGAATCTCCCTGTCTCTGAAGCATGAGGCATCTGGACATGGTGGCACATCCCTGTGTCCCCAACAGCCAGGCATCCTGAGGTAAGAAAATTGCAAATTTAGGCCCAGCCTGGGCAAAGAGTAACTTAAGTGTTTGGAGGTGGTTTGTGTGTTGCTGCTTGATTGGTTTGTTTGCTTTGGGACAGGTTTTGTTACATAGCTCAGGCTTGCCTTGAATTCACGGTATCCTCCTGCCTCAGGCTCCCAAGTGATGGGATCGTAGGCATGTGCCACCACATCCAGAAATAGTCAGACTGTAACTCACTGAGAAGGCCCTGTGTTCAATTCCTAGAACCTTGATAGAAAGACAGAGACAGAGACACACAGGAAGACTGAGGAGAGACAGAGACAGAGATAGACAGACAAAGACAGAGAGAAGAATGCACAGTAGGAAAAAATGAAAAAAAAAAAAAAAAAACAAATCTGAAAACCCTTGGCCAGATCAAAAGTTTATATATCTGAAACTCACATGTTGCTTTGAAATTACAAATTAATTCCTTTATAGCACATATGCGCACACAGAGAACTACCTGGTAAAACAGTCAAACAGTAAAAATGATGTATAAAAAATATAACTTCAGGGCCAGGGAGATAGCTCAGTGACATTGGCACCTGCCTGACAAGCACAAGGTCCTGTGTTTGATCCCTGATACAAAAAAAAAAAAAAAATCACGACCTCCCCTCCAAATCTTTCCATTTCGCAGCTCCCCTTCGTACAACGTGTACATTAGCAAACGTCCCCATGTTCCTTCTCCCTTACAATGTACACACACAGAAGTCTGATGGACACATTCTTCTGTTCCCGTGTGTGTTCCCACAGCCTTATAACTTGTAGGCACTCTGTGTCCGTATGTTCAGTCGCGCCCACTGTGCCTATTATGGACGTAGCACAATTACCTACCTGTTCCCCAGCGATGGACACTCAGGCTGCTTCCAAGCTTGTGCTACTGCAGGCACAAGGGGGACACGCCCGCCTTGTCCTCCTGTGCTCCCCGCCCCACGGCTCCCCGACTGTAAACTCCCAGGCCCACCCACACTTACTTGTAAGCAGTAGGAGCAGCAGCAGCAGGACACACTCAAAAGAAGGAGGTGAAAACATGAGTTCTTCAGAGGAAGGTCCCAGGAATGAGCGCGTACGCGGTGTGACTCTCCCGCTGAACTGCTGCTTCTCCAACTAACCACTTCAGCACAGTCGCAAGCGGCAGCCGCTCCCGCTGAGCCCCAGCCAGCAGGCACGCTGTCTGAGGACCAGGATTTCTATATTAACACTGCTAAATCTATGCTGAGAGGAAGCCCCGGCCGTGTCATGCCACGCGCACATATCCTGCAACCGCTGGGAGGCTTACGCTGTTGCAGCCACAAAGAGGAAGCAGTGCTACCTACAGTGGGAGGAAAGTGCTAGTCATGGCCAGTGGAGAGGACACTTTAAAATCGCAGATAGAGCGGAGCCTGGCAGGGCCTGTAATCCCAGCACTTGGGAGGCTGGAGGATCATTGTTAGTTCAAGACCAGCCTGGGTTATAAGATGAGCTTAAGGCCAGCCTGAACTGCTTAGTGATAGACTATCCCAAAAAGACCAATAATAATAATAGTAATAATAATAATAATAATAATAATAATAATACAGATAAAACAGGACTGAAATGGAGCACATGCAAGTCTGGCTGGATATAAGAGAATATAAAATTCAGACATGCCACTCAGGCTCCATGTAGCCAGGTCTGTGCTGCCCAGCCTCCCTGAGGCACCCTCTTTGTGACTGGCACTAAGCGAGTTGCTGGAGAACACAGCAGTGAATGCTGTGGCGTTTGCCCTCCACTTGTGGACCATTTCCATTCTAATCAGGACTGTAATACTTACCCTCGCTCTGGCCCAGGTTAGGCTGTGTCCTATATAATCTTGCCTGTTCTGAGTTCTACCATTTGCAAAATTTATAAAACGAGGAAACTGTGTTAGTTAATATAGCACAGCTCCATGGTCTAATATTTTGACTTTGACCTTCACACTTTCAAACTCTTCCTCTTAGGTTTGATTTATTTATTTATTTATTTATTTATTTATTTATTTATTTATTTATATTAGGAATCGAACTCAGGACCTTGCGCTTGCCAGGCAGGCACTTAAACAGCTGAGCTATCTCCCCGGCTACTCTTCCACTTAGGAAAGGGGTGTTCCTTACTGCAAGGCCTCTTTTCTCCTACATTGAGGGTAACTGAAAACTTCATACTCAATATTCTGCTTCATCTCATATACAAGGCACCTCCTCTCTCCCAACCTGTGGGAGTTTGGGGCACAAACTGGCATGAAGTGCTTAGTTCTAGCCACTCCGTTCATTACAGAGGTGACGTGTCACGGCTAGACGAGTACTCCCGGTCCTGGGAAAACAGCTGTTATCTGAAAACTTTAAAAACCAAAGGTGCTTACAAAAGGGAAGTCAGTTCAGCTCACCAACTGAGTGCTTTGGGAGAAGAAAACTAAAAGGCTCCCTCTGTGCCTTGACTTCTTGAGTTTCCTTGTTACCTTTATGTCATTAAATGTGCTTAAGATAAAGAAATAGCCAGTTTGTTCAACACAGATACTTCCATAGCATCATAGATCAGTAGTTACCCAAGAGACCAGAGTCAATTTTCTCATCTTACAGACAAAGGAAATGAAACTCAGGAAGACAGATTTGTCCAAAGGCACATGATTGGTGGCTCAGAATAAGAATACACGTCCCCTAAAGTCCGGACACGGCCCTGCTGGAAACCATGTTGCATGAATCTAGCATTTGCTTCAATATTCTGGCCCCAGAAATAATAACAACTAGCAGATGTTCATGTGGGAGTGTAATGTGGAGTGGATGAAACCTGGTTACACTCCCCCCACACCACCAAGGCAAGTCTCTTAAAAGCCTCAGCCTGCAGTTTTTGTGCTTTGTTTTCATTCTTACCACTGCTTCTGCCTAACTCTAGAATTGGAGCTGACATAAGCTTTGTAAAACACTGACAATGTATTCATGTACCAAAGTCTACACAGGAAGAAGCCTAGAGGTCTACTCTATCCCTTTCTATTGTGTGTAAGGCCCACTAGGGAAAATTTTTAATCCCTGTTAGCATTTTTAGGCTTAGTAATTTTTATAGTTCTATGGATTAAATCTAGGCCCTTGTACATGGTAGGCAAGCTCTGTACCACTGAGCACAGATTTGGGGGGAGTTACTTTTTGTTTTACGACACATTAATTCAGCATCATGATCAGACTTACATTTAGCAGTCAAGTGTATGTAGAAAAAAAGACATTAAAGTCCTTTATTAGAATACTTTATACTTTCCATAGACTAGAAACAAAAAAAAGCATAATACATTCATCATAAATATGTCCTTGAGGGGCCGGGGAGATAGCTCAGTAGAATAAGCGCTTGCCTGGCAAGCACAGGGTCCTGAGTTTAATCCCCGTACCACAAAAAAAAAAAAAAAATATATATATATATATATATATATATGTCCTTGAATTTTTTTGACCATATACATGAGTACTGTCTAAAATACATCTTCTTTGTAGCAATGAGGCCCTGCTACCACTGCACTTATCTAAGCTGTCTCTTGTTTATTCTTTAACAGCTAAGTAATACTTAGTTCTTTTTGAATGTTGGTCATGAGACTAGACAACATGACCAAAAGAGGTACGTCTAGCTCACACTTTCAGAGGTCGAAGGGCACTGGCTCTACTCTGGGGAAGACTTCACAGAGGACAGGGCCACTAGGCAGGACCTGTGAAAAGGGAGATATGACACAGCCACACAGGACGCCAAAGCCAGAGGAGGGAACCGGCTTGTTCTCTTTTGACAACGTTCTTAACCACGAGCTCAGGGCTCCAAGAGAATTGTCACAATCCCACTCAAGGGTGACTTCCCCTCTGAACCACCCAGCCTCTAGCACTCACCTCTTACAGGCCCCTCTCTCTGCTGTCCCACCCTGGGGATGCGCCTCTGCCACATGGACCTCCACAGGACAGGCCTCATCCAAGCCAAGCAGCAGTGTGTTCACAGGCATCTCTCCAATCGCTGCCCCCCACTGGCTTACACACCTTTTCCCTGTGAAATGGCTCATATTGTAGGGGTTGTCTATTTCCCTGGGATGTCACTAATTTTCCCCTTTGCTTTGTATCTGGCAATAAAATTTATCCCTAGTGTTTTGTTCAGATTCGAGGTTGACGCTTTTAGCAGAAATTCACAGCTAGTGCCCTGGGCTCTACAATCCTTCTCAATCGTGACTGTCCCACATTCAGAGATGCTAAGCTGGGCTGCGTCTAACTTTCTTTTGTAATCTTATATTTTGAAACTCCTTTAATTTCAGCTCTTATAACATATCTTCTTTCTTTATGACAGCCAGATAGATTCATTAAATGAAACTATTGGGTGAAAAACAAATGTTTTTCTTTCCTTTTCAAATAGAAGGTCTCAGTTTCTTCACTTGGAAAAGTACTCATAAGAGAGCCATCCACAAACCATGATTGTACAATTTTAAACAATGAGTTGTTGTTTGTTTGTTTGTTTTTAACAAGTCTTTGGAATTTTTTTTGTTGGTGGTGGTTTTGGTTTTTTTGTACCAGTGATCAAATTCAGGACCTTGTGCTTGCTAAGCAGCAGGCGCTTAGACCTCTGAGCTATCTCCCTGGTCCCTAGAAATATTTTTTGACAAAGAAGTTTTTTTGTATTATAATTAATTTGCTTATAAATTGTGTTTAGAAAGCTGCGCCACACATTTTCTTGAGGGCTAATTGTTAACTATTAGTTATAGTTACATAAAGATACTCTGCCAGAGTTTTTTTTTTTAATGTATCAGTTATTTAATTAGGTTCTTAGTAAGAAATTTAGAACACTAATTTATGAGGATAAATTCCATTTGTCAGAGCAAAAACAGATCACAGGTAGCCCCAGAGCTGAGGAACAGCTTTGTGTTTGCTAAAATCTGAGTCCACCACTTTCTGATCCACCTTGCACTGCTCTGAAATCTGGTGTCTCTCTTTCTCAGTGTCGAAGATCTTGCCCTCCTCGTGTCTGGGTTTCCACAGATTCTTCTTCTTGGGGGTTGAGCAAAGTGTAGTCTCTCTCTCTCTCTCTCTCTCTCTCTCTCTCTCTCTCTCTCTCTCTCTC